TACATATGTATGTATGTACATGACTGTACAGTCGATTTGGCCATTTCCGATCACGGATTTAAAAGGCAAGACAACTATAAACTAAAGGTTATCGCAATTCTGATAAACAATAAGTTTATGCTGTTTTTGTTGTTTTTTTTCCTCCGCGGCCCTTTATTAACTTTACAGAATGATGAAAACTAGCACTGTTATTCAAGTGCATGTTCCGTTCTCATTTCGTTTCACCCACGTTTATGGAAGGTGAAAAATGTGTGTTAACATTCAATGACTAATTCCATTTCTTTTCGAAGTGTCCCCCGATATGCGTGAGTCAAAGAGTAATTAAAAAGCATGTAAAAAAAAATTAAAAACTATAAAAAAAAACAATCAAATTGTGTAGTTATAATAAATACACAACTAAAAACTAATAAATTAAACGCATTTAATGAAAACAGAAAACAGAACAAAGAAAAATAATTTCCTAAATAATTTCATATTTTGATCTGAACGAAAGAACAACTTGGGGTGCTATTGGAATAATTGAAAATGCCATATGTGGGAAAAAGGAGAGATTTCATTTGATTCCCACCTTTGCTTTCGATATTTTGGGGGTTAGGGCTCGACGTGCAATATAGTAGATCTTCGTTATGGTAGTTTCCTGGACTTGTGGCTGTAATATTTAAAAATTGACTTGCATTTAACAAAAACTCCATTAGTTTGTTGCTTTTTTGTGAGCTTCAACACTCAAGTCTTTTTAACAAGCACACAACATTGACATTTAATTGAAAATTCTCGTGTGTTATATCATCAGCTGTTTTTCTTTCGTTCCCATTGGAATTCTTTCATTTGAAAAGCGTCTTCAAAGAGGCTTTGTACTTTAAATTGCGCTACAAGTTCTTCTTCGATTAAATAAAACTGGCGATAAATATATGTTGCATTTAACAATAATATTGTAATTATATATATATATATATATATATATATATATATATACTTGTATATAGTTATGTATCATCTGAATAGGTATGTTAAATATATAATTGAAATATATATGTATGTATCTTTATGTATGCATATTTCTTCTTGGTTATTCAGCTTAGACACATAGCATATGTTTCTGGTTAAGTATGAATAGTGCGTATACTAACTCTTTATTCTGTATATACGATATTTGTAATTGCATTTGAAAACTGTGCACTTTTGCATTTTCCGCCAATGAAAAAACAACAAAAAATTGTGTCTTCCAGACACACCCGAGTGCACTAAAGCCAATTTATTGATCAATGTTTTATGTATTCATATTTGTTCTTGATTATTCAGCTTAGATACATAGCACAGTATGTATCTGATCAAATACGAATAACGCGTATTTGTATGCTAGCTTTTTGTTGTGAATATTGTATATGTATATATTAAATTGCATTTGAAAACTGTGCACTTTCGCATTTTTCGCCAATGAAAAAACAACAAAAAATTGTGTCTTTCAGACACACCCGAGTGCACTAAAGCAAATATATTGATCAGTGTTTTGGGCTTCATATGAGCTATATGTATATATACATATATTTATAAGTGTGGATATCTATATTGTGTACTTTTATTTTATATTGCTAAGCTCGCTTAAATGTTGTGCACTTTTTTATTGACGCAGATGAAAAAAACAAAAAAAAATTGTCTTTAAGACACCCCGAGTGCACAACAGAACTCAACACAAGAAAACGAAAACTACAAATTGTGCCTTTGCCTGAGGTGGTGTGGCACATGGTCACTAAGTTTTGTGGAAGCTTCAAGTCGACTTGTTTCTTTTGCAATTAATATATATATATCCATATACGTATGTATAGGTTTGATGCGCATATGTCTGCAGACCAGTACGAGCTTTTTCGCAGAGCCAAATGCCTGTTTTACTCCCAAATACTCACCTATTTGGAAGATTATTTCATGTTTACGAATATGTTTTAAATGATGCACAAATTTCAGTTAAAATAAATAGAAAATATCAATATTTTGATTATGCTTGAGCGTTTACTGCTTTTTTTGGAACTTATTTTAGGAATTAAGAATTTGGAAAAATGTTGGCTAGATACTTGTATGTGAGAGAAAAGTCAGCTCGGCTTGATATTCTGGTCCTGGTCTACACACGTACATAGCACTATTGAAATAACTTTCTTTGTATACATATACCATGCCAATGCGATATTTGCTCGTCTGTCTCTCTGTGTGAATATTGTGTAGAGCAACCGAAAGTCGAAATGGAATTTTGTTAAATGCAGCCAATTGGAAATCAAATTTGTTTGATACTGGCACTCCCAATTTGTTATTTTGATAAAGTGCCAGTATGATAAGGTTCGTACTACTTATGTGTATGTGAATGTCATTAGAGTTGATGGAGCACGTGTGTCTGTAGAACATAAGGTGTGTTCAAATAATATGCTATTCGTATAGCTAACAGAGTGAGAGGGACTAACACGATTTAAGTGCTAGCATTATAGTATAGATTTATGTACAGATTTTGTAAGTTTTTAAACTTTCCGTATGGTGTTCATATTACAGTGATTGGAGTTTTGGACTCTTCTTTGATTGCAGGTTTTTAAAAGCAGTTTAGCATGGAATTTCTTAGTTGGTTTCATTTTCTATACAAATACCAGTTATTTTGGAAGTGTTACGTCGAGAGGGAGGAAATGGGACAATCCAGACGGATGCAATGCGATTTTGGGAATTTCTAGCGAATCTGAATGCCAATTGGTCTTAACTGCCTCACTCTCCCAAATCTCTGACATAGCTTAATTTTTATTTTGACGATCATTGAAATTATTTTTGATGGTGAATGTGTTTTGTTTTTAGGGTTTCTTTATTATTATTATTTTTATTTGTTGTATTATAATAATTGTCGTGATTTTTCCGTTTCTACATTCTGTTTAACATCAAAGCATCTTCATTTCTGTACTGCTTTGCTCAGCTTTATTATTGAATTGATTTGATTTCGATTTGTGTTTTTATTTATTTAGTGTCTTTGGCTTCACAATTATATAATTTACACATGCATTTAAATGTATATAAATTTATTATATCTCTTTCTTCTTTTGTATTATTATTAATTTTATTTGTTTTTGTAGCGCATATTACACAATGGCGCGTTACATTTAGATCTGAATAGTTAGTGTTGGTATCATGGATTTTTAGCAAAATACCATTATTCTGCCATTATTCATTTGGTAGAGGCAATCGAATCAATAAAATGAAAATGTTGCTTCATAATTATTCTTTTAATTTTGTTTTGAATATGCATAACATTAAGTTAAAATAAGTATATATAAGATATTTATATATATAGTATATATAATTCTTGTGTATGTATATATATTTATATGTATATTTTAGTAAATATTTCATATATGCTTTAAACACTTATTCTGCGATAGGTTTTTATTTTAGTTTGTTGCACAAAAAACCCTTTGTAGGTATGTATCTCGTTAAGCATTTTCTTGCTTATTTTATTTGTTTTAGTGTGTGAATGTCGTTAAATAAAATTACAATTAACATTTCAGTGGCCTCAGCCAGCATATATTTTGCTGGAATTTTACGATTTTTTTGTTTGTTTGCTTTTTTTGGGTATTTCTTCTCGTTTTCTTTCGTATATATTAATATTTGCTTAATAACACACATAAATTTTAGCCAAATGGCATAATTTATATAGGTATCTGATTATTGTATATATATTGTATATATCAATGTATATATATAGTAAATAGTATATTTGTATAGTATTGTATACACATCGATATTGTTATATGTTGCACTTAGAGGCTAATCGCTTCACTTATCATAAGTAAGTAGGATATAGTATGTTTTTATTTTGCTCATGGGTAAGATTTTGTTTCCTCTTTTTCCAAAAATGTATGAAAGCCTGCGCTTAATATTTGATCTTGCTAGTTTAGTTAATTCAAATATACAGAAATGTTATTCTTACATGAATATGCTTCGTCATATATGCCTCATCATATTTTTGTATTTATTTGTATTTGTATATTGTTTTAGTTAACAAAATGAAACATGATGTATATATATGGTATGTATACATATATATTTATTTATACTTGTATGTGTGTTTTTATTAGTCGTGTTGAACGTCATATGTATGTACAGGTATGCTTGTATAGTTGAAGTTGCAATAATCTAAAGAATTCCTTTGGCTCGACTCAATACAACACTTCTCATATCAGGCTGCGGCCATGATATGGGAAGCATAGTTTAAGGACTGTTGGCGATGCTGCGAGGGGAGGGGAGCGCTCTCTGTGCTCCCACGTCTAATTGCCGCACTGGAAAAAAATCTCATTACGTAAGCCTAAAACTAAGGGTAGTCGAAGATGTCCATTTGTCAGTCATCGGTCATATATCCGTTTCCATTTACGCCCTGTACTCCGAAGTATATGTCAGGTGTCGTGCCGGTATTTTGGAATTTCCGTATTTCGGTCGTGCGTTGTCCAAAGTTTGATGTGCGTATATACAGCTCGTCCTGCTTGCGTCCGTATTGTATCATAGGTTTTGTTTAATTAGGAACTCAAACCATTTTGTAGTTCGTACTCAGTTCGTCGGTGGATTAGTCGCTTATTAAATATCCCCTGTCACCTCACCAGCGCGCTCGCCTCCTCCAAGCTGCAATGCCATCAGAGCCAAAGGACATTAAAGTCTCAATACGCACTTACACTTGTTCGTAGAGGGAATTTTAGAATTTAGAAAGCCGATAACCAAGGCTGCCAGAGCTGACCCAAAGCTTGACTCAATGCGCACTTTTTCACCGGTCTGGTAACACACAAGCAAAAAACTTCAAGCCACACTGTCTGTGTCTGCGTCCTGTGTTGTCATGTGTTTTCAGTTCGGGCGTAACTGAGCACGAATGTGCGCAGCAGCCAGCTTTTGTCATTGTTCGTATGCTAAACGGTGCGTACGGTCTTGAAATTTGTTTGTTTTTGTTTTTGTATATCTTATGTTACACCATCAATGAAAATAGCTTTGACAAATAATAAACTGTGCTACAGTATGCACCAATATGTATGTATAGTATATGTCGTACTTTGTATATAAGTAGTATGTATATAATTAACGTAGTTTGTAATTAATAGGTTATGATTTACTTTATGTGTAAGTTGTTGTTCCGTTCAATTTTCTACGCATGGTTGTTGTTTTCTTTTAATTGTTGTTTTTTTTTGTTTTTGTTAATTAACATTAATTCAAATATACATGAATAATTTTGTTATATTCTTTTTACTACATTTTCATTCGTTTTAGTACACTTATTTAATTTAATTTGGTTGTCGAAGAACATTGAAAAATTTTCATTATTAACTTTGAAAAAACCTTGGTTTTGTTTTGTTTTGTTTTGTTTTTTGCTTTAATTAAAATCAATCAAAAACTCTCTACTAAATATTTGCTTTAAAACATTGTTATTATTTTCTACCACATTACTAATTTTATAGTTGTTGTTGTTGTTTTTGCAAGCCGCAAGTTGTTGTCGGGCTTGCCACAGTTATTGTAATATTGTTTCCATTTGCTTTTCTTTGAGTCATTTGTGTCTTATGTTTGCTTGTGTGTTTATGTTCGATAACAAAAGAAATGCTAAGAAAGAAATATAGTATCTTTGTCTAGCTGGTTTTTGCTTTTTGCATTTTGTTTGCTTAAAGCTAAAAATTGTTCAAATTCCAAACTACAATAACTCATTATGCTTGTTTAATATTTAAATTTCAACGGCTACATAAAACTGTTCTTTAAATCTTTATGGGTATGTAATCATTTTTTTCATATTTTTTGCTTATTTGCAGCATTTGCATTTAGTTTTGTTCGATTTATTTGGTTTTTTTGAATTTCATTTTATTCATTTATTTTTTATTTTTTTTATATATTTTTATGCTCTGCACTTACTTTGCTATTTGTTGTTGTTACGTTTACTATAAAGAGGCTCTCTTGTAGGTTCCACTCGTTTAGTTAGTTAGTTAGTGCCTATGTGGTCTTTTGTATCTTTGTGGTTGTTCCTCGGGGTGTTTCGTGTAGCGTGTCGCCGTGTGTTTTGTTATTATTTCTCATCTAGTCTTTTTACTGTTTGTCTTTGTCCTTTTGAACCTTTCAAACGGTCATGCCTGAGTAGTTGTTGTGATAGTGCGGGTTATGTGTACAATTTTTAATAAGTATATTCTCGGGATATCTGGCTGTTACCAATGTTGTGGCACACCCTCCGCCCAGCCCACAAACACACTCGCCATTCGCCAGCCAATTTTTAGCTGCCCTCTGGTCGGATGAGTAGTTCGTGATTGTAAAATAGGACAGCGAATTCGCGAATGGACAGTAGGCGGGGTCAACACAAAAAAATGCTCTGTTCTAGTGTGTTTTGTATTGTGAAGAACTGTGGAAGGATAACGCATATATATAGATTTAAGCTAAGAACATTGAACGTAAAACATAGAACGTAAACAATTCGCACACATATGGCTTGGTAAAACAATATTATCTCTCATCTTGCTTTTTGCACATACACATATATGTGTATGTGTATATTTAGATATATATATGCATGTATATCTTTAGATATAAAGGTAATTAGTAATGACATTCACCATATTGTATATGAATATGAATAAATTTTTCTTTTAAATATACTCGTATATTTATATTATGCATCTTGTATAATTAATTGTCATACACATCGACAGGTTTCCTTAATTGTTTTTTTATGATTTGTAAATAGAATTGTAGTTTGTTTGATTTCGAAGGTACAAATTGCATTTTTAGAAATATGTGTTGCTGTTCCTATGCATATGTTTGTTGCGGTATTATGTTCCTTGTTGGATGTTGTAGTTGCACTGTTGTGTAGCACAGTGTGCATTTCGGCTTTCTGTTGTTGTTAGTGGCATATGTATACTAATTTAGCTCGCTATGTTCTTCTCACGGCTGGTTATTTCAAGCACATCGAATAGAGTTTGAATACGAATAGTTAATGCCAACATCGATATACAATATGTAAGTAAAATGTTTCATAATTGATTCGAATGCTTATCAACTAGACACATGTATATGTATATGTAGATATATAATATTATTTATTACACTTATATGCTTTATATTCTAATAATGTGCAATAAAACATTTGATTGCGCCATATCCCCAACCCTACGCCATGCTCTCGGAGACGACCCGCAAGGACGCGCTCCAAATGTAACGGGCTGGTGTGAGCACCTGGAGCTGCGTATTGCCGGTTCCCAGATCAAGGTGCGAGGCTGTGGATATGGCTAACTAATGTGTGAAATCAAACGATTTTAGTTAATTGTGGAACAAAATTGAAGCTAAGAAAACCATAAGCAATTAAGATAATCCAACACTTGCCAACCATGTGGAGCCATTTTCGAACCTTCCTTGTGCTTAAACCTTTCAACTAAATGGTAGCTGAGACAAAACTGACTTCAGTTTGCGCGTAAATGAATAAACTAACTAGATAAGCAATTAAAAGACCCCCGAAACGCTGCAACAAAATATGACGCGTTCCACTTTGACGCACCATTCCGCCTAGATGAGAAGCCAACAGCTCCTATGATGTTCCATATTTTTTTTGATCAATTGATCTACTTCTTTGGCTGTTTGGCTGCGGACTTGGCCGGCGTTTTCTGTTCCACCGATTTCTGCTCCGCCTTGCTGGTCGCTGCTGGCTTCACCTGCTCTTTGTCCTTGGATACAGCTGCCGCTGCTTTGGTGCTGCTAGTGGGTGCCTCCTCCTCTGCGGCCTCCTCTTGCGCCTTGTCCTCCTTGAGCGGCTCCTTCGCATTGTCCTTCTCCAGGTCACGCTTCTCGCCCGAGGTGTTCGCCGGTAGAGCCTTAAGAATTGCATGCACCTCCTCTGCCACAGCCATGAGCACAAACTCAAATTGTTGGCGGGTAGCCACAACACCGGCGCGTTGATCGCGTAGATGCTCCAATGTGGCAGCAATGTCGATCTCCCGTGCACCCTTGTTCATGCGTCCCAGAACCAGGTCGAGCAGAATGTAGGCGCCGGTGCGGCCTGCACCTGCACTGCTATGCACCACAATGGGGCAGGAACGACCGCGATACGATTTGTTCACTTTTCTGCACGAAAGGCAATGAGAAAATGGAGGTAAGATGCTGGATGTAGTGACAAAGTAATGCCTTATTTACCGTCGGAAGTCCAGCAGAGCCTTGGCCTGTGCCGGCACGCCCATTTGTGGCCACGATAGGAAGTGGAACTGGGTGACGGTTCGAGTCTCGCTTGTGCGCAGATTTTTCAAGTAGAAAGAACGTACGAGGTAATCATCGCACCAAATGTGTTCGCTAACCAAGTGAACCTGAAAACCACACAGAGCTCAGTATATTCATTCAAAAAGCTGGGAGGATTGGCCATATGATTAATTGGAAGTGTTCTGTTCATATCTAAAAGCCACTAATATACTGATGCCTGGGAGATGAACTAGCGTTGACTTACCTCATAGATGTGATAGACCTCTGCACCCTCTTCCGGCCAATATCGTGCACAGGCGACCTCTCCGTTCTCCTGCAGCCGACACAGGGCTACAATGACAACGGCACCCTGCTCCCAAATCATTTGCCAAAAGTGTGCCAGAGTCGAGGGCATTGGTCCTTGTGCGGCCACATAGGCGGGTGCGCGTGGATCGTGATCGGTCTGTGAATCGATAGTGTTAATAAAGAAGGGATTAGCTTTCGCTGGGTTACTCACAATAGTTGATGCATTCACATAGTCCAGCCCCTCCGCATTAGCCAGATGGTTTAAGACAACGCGCGAGTGATCATACGGTAGAGGTGCGCCTGGACGATTCAGATTCGCGCACTGTGGCTGCGATGCGGCTTCGCGAGCACTCGGCTCGGCCTCGTACCGACACAGGGCATCCCATTCGCGCTGTAGTCGACCCTTATTGCGCAGGTGATCCTCCATATACGACTGTAGAAGTAAATTATTAATGTTCGGCTGCAGCTCCTATTTAAATATCGTCCTGGGATCTATCTTACCAGCACCATGTGTCCTGTTGAGATGTCCATGTTCGTCAACGCGGGCTCCTCGCTCCACGATGATGTGCTGGAGCGGGAGGATGGTGGCCTACCCTCACTCTCTTTGCTTAGCGACGTGATGCGTCCGCTGGGCACGGGCTCAGCAGTATTGTTGGCACTCCCGGCACCTCCACCATTCCCGTTGCCACCCTTGCCCGCCATGCGTGCCCGGCACAGTTCCTGGTAGTCCTTGCTGCAGCTTTCCGCTCCACCCATGCCCGACTGCAGGCCACCTAGTTTGTCTCGCTTGCGATCGTGTCGTTTGATGAGAATTAGCGTGACCAATATGACAATGACCGCAGCGGCCCCGGCGCCAGCAAACATGTAGGCCATAATATGTGTCACGTCCGGCCCCTGTTCATCCAATTCGATGCGTGACGATGACACGCTTGGGTCCTGTAGATCTTTGACCTTGTCACCCACGCCTGCATGCAGAACGTAGAAGCCGACGCGTCGTTGGATGTTGTTCTTGACACCGCGGTTCTCGTTGATGGTGCGCGCCACATCGGCGGCGGTCTTGCGCTCGGGGTTGTTTGAGTCAACCCGGAAGCTAACTTCGTGTGGTTGAACGCTGAAAATCGACAAAAACCGATATATAGTAAACTTGACTGTAGTGGATTGTGGTAGGAGTCCCGACTCACGTTAAATAAGAAAAGTATCCCTGCATGTGTAGTATTTGCGCCAACTCATTCATGATGCGCTGCCCATCGTACCAACTATCAATGCTGCAAGCAGATAGTATAATAAATTAGTCCAAGTCTAGCAGCAATCTTATTTTTAATTTAAACTTACGGGTTCTTTACGAACACATGTGCATATTCAGTGTCTACGGTGTGCGGCGCATGGTCCTCGGCAGAGTGCTGTTCCTTGATAACCTTCTTCTTCTTGTGTGCCTCATCATCCTCGAAACTTCCCTTGATGTGCGCCGGCAGTACCTCCTTGTTGCCATCGAGCTTACGTGGTTTCTCCGTGTCCAGCTGATTGGTGAGCGCAGCCGTTGGTGGTCCCAGTAGCGGTCCCGGTTTCTTGACATCGAGGCGCTCGTGCCGCGCAAAGCCCAACATATTGGCGAGAAGGGACTGTTTCAACACCACCGGATCGTCCGCTTGCATGTCGTTCTCAGGCACAAGTAGTAAGCCACCTTCGGTGTAGACGCGTTGCTTGTGCTGTCGTCGCGGGTACGTATTAGATGCGAGTATCGCTTCCTCCTCAAATGGCGTCAGCGAATTACGCAGGAGGCCCGCTTCGTATGCCTGCAGGCGCTGCAGATCCCGCTGCTGTTGCTCATAGGCATCGCTCTCGTCTAATTGACCAAAGGCTGGAGGACGTGGGCGTCGCTTTTCAGTTGCTGCTCGTACATCAGTCAGCTCGGCATGATCGCTGTACAGCGGTTCTTGGGCCTGTCGTTGTTCATTCGCCAGCTCTCGGAAAAAGGAACGCTTTGGCTGTTCCATGAGCTCCCCACCCATACGCTTATAGGGCGCAAAGTTATCGGGGAAATAAAGCTCACTGGACTCGTTCACCTCTTCTGGCACATAGATAGGAGGCACCATTTGCACCTGCTCTTGCTCCTGCTGTTGCTGCTGTTGCTCCTTTTGTTGTTGCTGCTCGACTACGGCCTCTAGCTGATCCATTGGATTGACTTGCGACTTGCGTTGATATGGCTGCGGATCCGGCTCAGAATCGGCCAGTATTTGGTATAATTCCAGACGATTCTGTTGGGATGTTTTGCGCTCCGCCTCCTGCTCAGCTGCACGCAGCTCCTGCTCCCGCTCAATTCGTTGTCGCTCCGTATCCAAAAAGGCATTCATCACACTTGGCGTCTCCAGCTGCGAGCTCTGCACATCAAACTTCTCAAAGTGCTCCAACTCAAGCGGATCGTGACGCAAGCGTCGCCGATCTTGCAGTTGTAGCTCGTGCAGTAGGCTACTGATGCCGTTGCCATCGACGGACTGCTTTTTGCGTAACATTGGATATAGCGGTGCCGGCTGTTCGTAGTAATCATCCTCAGCCTCGGGCGGGGTGAACCGCACATGGGCCATGGCGCTGGCCGGATCCCCAAACTCGGGTGGTGTGGGCGCCAGATTAGCGCATAGGTTCGGCGGCAGCTGCTGGTGACGCTGCAGGGAGAAAAGTGCGCCTTGGATGCGGCATTGCACGTACGGGTGATCCCAGCCTAGGCCGGCGCCCTGGAGCTCCTCCAGCATGGTGGCCAGCAGCCGAGATTGGTCGTCGGTGAGCGGTGTCCTGGCAAAGGAGGGAGATAAGCTTTAAGCAAAAAATATAGCAATGGAAACGCAACAAGAGATGAAATTACTTCTCAATGTCCTCAACATCGACGCCGGTGGTGGGAATGCACTTTCCGAAGATGTTATCTGCAAGTAAATATGTACTTCATGTAGTAATTGCAAACTATATGAACAATCCAGCACAATCCCCCGCCCTCCACACTCCTAAAAGCGCCTTTTGTGATTTACGATCATTTAATGCATATCCTTGCGGCGCCTTGTCTCCGTCGTAATTTGCATAATGTAAATGGGTTTTCATTCGCACCAAGTCCTTAGTCTCGTGTGCATATCTACATACGTGTATATTTGTGAGTGCATATGTTTGCGGGCTGCTCCCCATATATTTCTTTCACTTTTAAGGTCAACCATTTTTCCGCACATTACATTTTTCTCACATTTCCATACCCTTTTTGTTTCTTGTTTTTCGGCTCTTGTTGCCGTTGCGGCAAGAGTCACGGCTGCACTACCAATTGTTCTGCTCCACACTCCACCCTTCTATTTCCTCAGCACTTACATAAGTAATTGAGTGTGTTCTCGATAATGCACTTACATTCCGTGATATCTAGCCTGTTATTCACACCACTCTGCTGCAGGTGCTCGGTTTTGGTGTCGTTTTGAATTCGCCAAGCCCTTGAAGTGCAGTGCAAATAGAACGAGACAAGAATCTCTATATTCTAAGGATTGGTCGCACATATTAGTTTCTCTGCATGGCAAACCAACGAATGTATCATTTATTTATTCACATTCCAAACTCTGATTTAGCATGCAGTAAAGTTCGATAAAGAATCCGTTTTCTTTAGAGTTCCACAAGCAATTGGAGCTGTTAGGGAAACCAGAAACCTAATTGGTATGCGTTTCCCAATGACATCTACATCGAACTCAACTGCACATTCCGGCACTTGGTTCCTACAGTAAGTCTATAAAACCCAAACGAATACCATAACATTTTTGACTTGTAACATTTCAACGACAGCTACAAGCCAAGCATTAAAAATTGCTCCGCTTGCGAAGAATCCCAACCGACAGTTAAATGCTCGCAAAACAACAATTCGCACTTAGTTTCGGGTCCGGGACATTAAATGAGCTTTCCCCAATGTGGGCCACCAACTTAAGCCTAATCTGCATATCTATTATACTTAATACTCACCATCATAGCAGACCTCGCTGCCATCGAGGCAGAGCGTCCTAACAAACTGGCAGCCTGCAAGTAGGGGAAGAAGAAAGACAGAGAGAGAGAGAGAGAGATAGAGTATTAGCGGGTGTATGTTAAGCATATAAAAGAGTTGTTAAATGTCATGAAGGGACGCAAGAACAGCAAAAAAGTTTCAGTTAAGACATAATGATGTGGTAAAAGCCAAATCAGCATTACGCCGCCAAGCAAACACAAAGCACTCCCAAACACAACTGCAGCCAACACCCAACACCCACACATCACGTCGCCACGAGTTGACATGAGTGTGCTTGTCTCTTAGTGTGTGTGTGTGTTTCTATGTGTGTGTGTATTGGTTTGGTGTCTTGTGCCGCTGGTTTGTCTCTTGCCAAATAAACGCCTTTTATGAGCGTGTCGCACATGACTGCCTGAAGCTGCTGCTGACTCTGAGCTTCTGCCAAAAAACAGCCAGAGGGCATACTTGTAGTTAAGCTTCAGCATTCCCCACGGGTGCGGCTAAGACAACTTCAAATACCGCCACGGGAGATACAGTGTATTGTTGTTAGCAAGTTTATACAAATATTTGTTCTAATATGTAATAATATGTGAGTCAACGAACGGACGGAAGTGTGATCCTTCGGTATAGAAAGCATTTTATTCAAATTTAATTCACTCTATAATTTATGTTACTTGGTATAATAATTGGCATCGCCATGTGTTAAAATTATTTGATTCGTTCTTAACATTAATCTTGAAATTGTTTCCCTGAAGCAATCTACATTGATCTTATTTGATCAAACTATCTGTCTATCCCCTCAAGTACCGCCCCGGGAGATACAGTGTATTGTTGTTAACAAGTTTATAAAAATATGTTGTAACGAATTAGATGTGTGGTCCCTTGATATTGAACGCATTTGATTCAAAATTAATTCGCTCGATTATTAATCTTACTATAATAATTGGCATCGCCATGTGTTAAAAATATTTGATTCGCTCATGAAATTAATCCAGAAATTGTTTCTTTGAAGCAATCTACATTGATCTTATTTTATCACATTATGCTATTCATGTCAGACATTTTCCAAGTAGCATCTCAATTATTATATATTATAGAAAGTTTAATCTTACACATTCAAAAACAACAACCCCATAAAGGAATCTAGTGCTTGACACCTGCAACTAGATAGTCCGATATGGAAACATATACTTAGAAAACATTTTAATTCAGCTTGAGAGAAAAACTAAATAGTTAACTATGTGAGTAACCTAATATCTTAAATTAAATTGTAGTTATTTTATTTTCTGCTTCTTAAATCATTGGAACCGCTCAGAACTCAGAAATATACAAGTATGTCGCTATATGGAACGCCTGTTGGGAATGTGACATACATGAGCCACCAAATTTGTTGCGTTTCTAGTCAATGTCCTTTTCCCAGTGCAGGGTCGTTTGTTGTTCCTAAGTGACGTCAACAAGCACCGCACGTGATGGTGGTGCCGGCATTCCTTTGCATTGCTGTTGTCGCCAAAGAATTTGTCAACGCTTTCAGACGCCTCTTTGACGTCATGTTAGTGAACACGTACACAGTTGCCCAATTTTAACGCTCCTCTTGCTACATGGTCTGTCATCACACAGGGACGCCCCCACCATTGTTCAAAACTTTGTTGTCAACAGTTTTCGTGGTCTTTTGGCGGGCTTTAACTTTTGTTGTTTGGTGGAAGCGTTCGTAAAGGCAACGACATGCATTGCCCATTAATTAAGCCAAAGTAATTTCATTTTCGGGCACATGCCATCCCATGTCTGTGCTGCTTTTTAATTGCAAAATAATTTCAGATGGGTCGGATGCTGGGCCCAAGTGCGTAGGCCACATCCTAGAGGCAACTGCTTGAGAACACTGCGATAGGCGTATTCTGTTGTTGTTTGTACGGCGCTTAATAATTATTAATAATTTTTTTTATTATACTACTAGTTCATGCTTATTATATTTAATTTTTTTTATGCATTCTGGCGGCGTAGGAAGAAAGTGTTGTCTGGCCCTAGGAGCGCTCATAAATATGACTCCATCTGGGCAGCGACAGTGTACTATAAGTGGCTAAATAAAAAGCCGGCTATTAAAATAAACTGGCCAAATAAAAGCAGACAGAGTGCAGCAAAGAAAGTGGCACGAAGTGGCGCCCCCGTTTGACATTTCAACGTCAATTTATTTGCAAATTCTGACGCCTAGTGTTGCGTCTATTTTTCCCTTTAATATAAGAGGTCGCCAACTGTCGCTTAGCCCACTCAGACGTACAGTACTGTATTTTATAGATTTTTCTTCGAGCATTGTTAACTTGACAGATTGAAGCGCACTGCATGATCCCCTCTTCTCTTTATTGGCGTCAGCGTTGAGTTCAAGTTGCCATTGTCGTCGCTTCCACAGTCACAGGCACAGGCATTGCGATTGTAGAGGCAATCGTTTGTTTGCCAGCTGACACAATCTAGGGAAAATTGTCAATACATGACGAACTGTGTAGGCGTTGGGTTTTCAATAGGCTCTTGGACGTGACTTGCATGCAAAGTGTCAGAGCAAAATAGAAACTAATTAAATGCGGACACAAAGCTAGAGGAAGTTCTATGAAGAGGAATGTACAAGTAGAAAACAATTTTGCACCACGCGCGCTCTCTAATTGAGTGCACGCCAAGGTAGGATGCGGGAGTACCAACAATAAAATGGCCAGCTTAGCGGCCCCTCCTAACTGTCCACCAAAGACAAATCGCCTATGGATCTGGTGAGCACCAAACACAGCCTTCTGGCACATAATTATGCGCGCACATGTCCTGCCAGAGGAGAGCAATATTGTTTTTCATTGCTGCTCTGTAGATAAGACAACTGAGCGTATGTGCAATATTTTCCCATATGCTGTATTCATGCGTCACTGAGCCGTGAAAATGCGCCGCAGTGTGTGGTTGTGCGGCTTGAGTCCTGTGTCAAAGGATAAATCAGTGCAAAGGACGGACTCCATACACAGTGGTTGGACACAAACAAACTTTGTCATACGTAAAAAGTTTCGATGGAAAAAAGGAAATGTTTATGTTGATAAGAGAAATAACAACACTGCGAGCATTTAATATATACGCATCAAAAAATATTTACGTTTGAGAAACAGTAATATTTCACAGCCAACATTAATATAGTATGTGTTTAAATATTTGTTCAGAAGGAAATTCTGAATTAATATGTGCCATCATCCAACAGCTATTTAAAACTCTTTAAAAATTATTTCAAATAAATTGCAATATTTTTAACGATATATTTACCATCAAATTTGAGTTTTAGAATTTGTGGCATTAAATTAAAAACCTTTTATTTGATTACCATACAAACTATTTGAAGCAATTGGCTGTTAAATCTAGCTTGAGATGATAGTTGAAATGAATTTCAGTTGAGTCGCATCGCTTATCTATCCCGACAAAATGGATTCTTAAATATTTCTATTTAATAAACATCAACATTAAAAGCCGAGTATTCTGCGTGCGTGTCGTTTTCGTCCGCAACTCTTCTATGAACATTTTTTATAAACCTCGCATTTCGTAGACAGCAAGTGTTCGATTTTTCATGCAATGTTTATTTCCCATAAGTATTCGTTTATAGAAAGAAGACAATTCTTTGGCTCAATAGTCATGCAGGCAGCAGCAACAACAAAAAGCAAATAAATCCAATAAATCCCAGTATGCGCTTGATTTCATTCACATTTATAATAGTATTTGAGTTGAATGGAAGATCTTTTCGGCTTTTTGTGTAATTTTCAGGCCATAAGAAGTTTTGTTTGCTCTTTTATAAAAATTTAAAGACTGGTGCAGTCGCAGATTATGCCCAAAACTATTCTGTACTTTGTCAGAATCCTTAAGGCCTCAATATTTCATTCGAATATTTGATAAAACCTATTGAAGCTGTTTTAATATATGCTCACTGCCAACTTTTCCCACAGAAGACCACGAGAAACAGCCACAACAAATCAGTCTTGTCAACGCAACGCGCACTTAATCACTGGAACAACGAGTGTGCGTGTGCGTGTGTGTGTGTGTGTGTGTGGGTGCAGGACTCTGAGTGTGGCTGCAACTTCGTTTTGATTGATGGGCCTGACATTGGATATTCTGAATATCATCTCGTGTCCTTCCTGTAAATTATGGCTTACAAGAGAGTGCCCACAGGAATTTAATAAGATGTCCCACTCAAGGCAAAATTGAATAAACCTATCTACAGACACATACACCCAATAGACGTCCGTGTAGCAGTCATGCTCCGTGCGCAAATTGATGTTCACGGCTACGCACATTTAAGGGGCAGGACTGTTTGTAAAGGGACCGTTGCGGCTTGCCAGTCCCTGCTTCTGTACTTTTTTAAAACTTGATTTTCATTTTAAAGCCACAATTTTATGTCGACAATAGACAGGAGCGTGTGAGTGTGAGGAAGCGTTCGAGTGAGAGTGCGTGTGTAATTGTGGACTGCTGGTCAACGCAATTGGCATGTTTATATAAATAATGGGAAAAAACTGTAGCATGCTTTCGGGCGCTGCCCTTAACGTCGCTGTTTAATGTTTGCTGCTGGCTTTAATAATGTTGTAAGGGACGCACATTGTTTGACATCTACATAACAATTACTGTAGACAACATGTGTCAATGAAGCAAGACAAACAATACAGCAACAAGAGGAGGAATAGCACTTGGGTGCACTGCCAGAGATGACACACAAAGAAAATAAATAATAAGAGGCGCCATTAATCATGACAAAGACAACTGGAGCATCCCAAGCCCCGGTCGTACCAGTGGCGTTGTGTGTTGTTCTTATTGGTGTTGGCGATGGCAAAGCAAACAAACAAGTGCGGCTGTAAAAACGCTGAGAAAAACAAAAGGCAAAGTACAGCTCGTTAAAGGGCATAACAAGCACAACGGCCGCAAAAGCAAACCCGCAGCGAAAACGGAAAGCAGAAGCAGAAGCAGAAACAGAATCAGAAGCAGCCTTGACAGCCAAAACCCCACTACTGCTGCTTATACAGGAAACATGACGATGCCA